TTGTTCAGCGGATAAAAATACTATAGGTCTATTATTAGCGAATTAATGTGTTAGATCGATGTTTGGTGTGAAATTTCTTATTTCGGAAAAGTTAAACTTTTAGGTTTAACAATACTAAATCACATAGGTTTAATTTATAACCTCTTCAATCACAGTTGATATTAATCCTTTTAAGAGCTATTAATTATCCTTATAAGCTCTAAAAGAGCTAACTAACTTTACCTCTACTTAATTTGAAAAAAAAAATAAAGAATTTTTATTAAATATTAAACAGTTAGATAGTATTGTAATTTTCTTGATTTGGAAAATAAGATCATATCCAAAGAATCAAAAAATTAATAATAATACTTTGCATAAGTATTTTATACTTACTAATTAGTGAATGATCTCATTTTTTTTATTTGTTCATTTTTTATTCTTGTCATATACTAATAAAGATAAACCGTTGATAATGAATATTTGCATGTGTACTTTTAATTATTATTTTTCCTTTGTTAATATATTCTTATCATTTATAATTAATCAATTAGATTTGAACTCAAATTATGGAAGGGCAAAATTCTAGATCATATTTTAAATTAGTTATAGAACTCTCTGGCAATAGAAAAGTTTTTAAGGTACTTTTTTATTATACTTGTTAAAGAACAAACTGTTACTTTGAGCAATAAACAGAAATAGTTTGATTGACTTATCTTGTTACAATATTAAAATAAAACATTTACAATCAAAACTTTGTACAGGAAGCAACTCAAGACATTTATATGACCAGTCAACCTTGACACAGTTATGTTGAATACTATGAGACTGTCATTTTATAAGGTTTTTTAATTTCCATATAATACAAATCTAAGAGACCTAATACTATATTTCTATAAAGTTGGAAAAAGAAATTATATAGAATTTAATTCAAAGGACAATGTATTTCAATGATATCTTAAATTCTACATTTTATAAGGATTCTTATCATTTGAAGTTCATATTGACATAGTGCAAAGTTATTTTTAGATTTGAAACTTAGAAAGGTATATAAACTTCTTGAATTAATGGCAAGTATGATAGATTTCTCAAGTTTGTCTGTGCTATTGATGAATTCAATTCAGTGAAAGCAAAGAATCTGATAACACATCTTTACAAAAACCTGAGGATCTATTATAAAACAACTTATGATAAAACTGAGACCACTCAAAGTGAATATGTTTTCCTGTTTCTTGTAAGTAAGATGTCACTTTTTGGTGAATTAATAAGAATATATCTACAGTTGTACTATGAAGATAAATATGGCAGAGACAGGTTTGATTTTTACTTGTCTTTTGGAAGTAATCATATATATCGTGGAGGTAAAAAGGCGTGATTTTAAACAAGGCATAACCCAGATAAAATCAATTTTTTTTATATTATGTTTTTGACTTTGCTCTTCTTTGTTTCTAATTTTTTGAACTTAGAATTTGATCCAACTGTATTTGGTACTTAAAACTAATCAGAAACACAAATATGATGAAATTGATAGCAAGTTTGCCAATAAGGTATATGGAATTGTATCCAATAACTGAGTATGGTATTTTATTAAATTTGTAATAAATGATAGTAAGTCAAAAATCAGCATTCCCTTGGAAAAGCCTACTATTTTGAATTTGGCTAAGGAGTTTGAGCCTTTGGAAAAGAGTGCAGAAAGAATTTTGGATCAAATAGTCTAGTGGTTAAAAAAAATAGAAGCAGTATCATCAATAAGATTATGTGATTAAATTAATTTTACTAAAAGTAAATATTACATTAGTTTTTGGAAGAAAATTTAAATAAAGCGAGATAACTGTATATACTTTTACACATGTTTTTATCACTTCTGCTAATGTGTTTGCAATAAATTCAAAAATGTTACATTATTTCAGAAAAAGTGGAAGATAATGATTTTATTTAAATTTATATATATATATATGTTAAAATTGGTATTGATCTAAAAAAAAGCAAATTTTGAATGTTTCCATTTTATATTCATTATTTGTCTTATTTTTAAATCCTGTTATCCTCTATTCTATAGTTATTTTCTCATTTGAAAATAATTTTGACTTGGATTTTTTTTTTCAACCAAGTTTTATTATTGCATTGTGGCTAATAATAATTTATTAACATATTTTGTTCCTTTAACACATAAAGTCAAACAAAACTCAGTTGACTATTTCTATAATCATATTGATACCAATATTTCTTATTAAATATTAGTCCAATTGTTTTTATAGCATTTTTATCTGTAAAACTGCAAAGGTAAAAGAAATCACAAGATGAATAATATATAATGTAAGCTTCAAAAATATTTATAAATGTATTTTTGCTACAATGTAACAAAAAAACTTATTCCCCAATAGCTCAATAATAATTTTTGAACTTTTTTTAGATTTCCTTTATTATGACATTCTTCAAATGATAAAACTCTGACTCTGATATTTTTTTAATATTCTTAGGTAATACATGTATATTATACATCATATGTTTAGATATCTCATACCATTGTAGACCAGTATGATTTTTATATTCTTTAGAAAATTACATAAATATTGTACAATAGAATCTAGTGGAATTATGAAACATAAGTATTTATAATAGAGTGATTTTAATAAACTAACAATATATAATAATTATTACCGAAGTTTATGAATTTATGTACCTTTAAAAAAAATAAATAGGTTGACTATAGAATTTATATTGAGTTGTTTTGTTTTAGAGATTTAAATTTTTATTTTGATCACCTGTTAACAAATTGTAATACGAGTGTATAAAATTTAAAAAGATTCAAAAAATCAAATATGTCCATATGTTATTATTATATTAGTTTATTACTTATTAAAAATATTTTTAATAAAAATTTTTTAAACAAAAAAAATAATTATCTAATAAATATAATTTTTTCTTCTTATTGACCTTTAGAAATAAAATTCTAAGTAAAACTTTTCTCACAAAAAAGCTATTATATAAAAAATATCCCAATTTATCAAGATAATTTTTGCTTCAGATATCTAGTAATATTAAAAATCCAGATACACATTTTTGAATGTTACAAAAATAGAGAAGCATATAAAAAAATTAAGATCAAGATGAATTCCAAATTCAAGAAGCTTTCAAATAAAGCCAATGCAATACCTTTATATTATACATATTTCAAATTCAATAGGAAATAACAGCCAAAAAAGCTAGCATGTGATAAAATAGTTTCTAATATTTAACTCTCAAACAAAAAACTAGTCAAGTTTATAAATAGTATCTTAAAACTTTTCTATATATTAATATAGGTATTCAGATTAGCAGCAGTAAACATATCAATAATAGTAGATATCAAATAGTCTAGAATTCAAAGCAGGTTACAAAACAAAAAAAGTAAAAACATATTAAGTCTTTTCCAAAAACAAGATTTACTTCAGTAAATTATTTTCTTATTAAACTTAAAACATATTAAATTAGATAGTATATTTAAATCATTCAACTTATTATCAATTTTAGAAGGATATTAACTATTTAACATTAGAATTAATCCAAGTTATATCAAGTATAATAAGAATAACAATAGTTAATATCAAAAATAGGTTAATATTAATTTATTTTTTATTTTTTTTTTTCAAGTAAATGTTTTATATATATACTTTTTATTGAGTTATTTATATCCAATCATATATATTCTAAGATTCATTTAAGTTAATTTCACTCTATACCTATAGACTTATCCAGTATACTGCAGAGATGGATCTGCACTCTAGGTAGAATCTTTAGGAAATAGAAATCTTTTTTTTTTTTTTTTTTTTTTAAATTGGCTAAGGGCATTAGATGCGCGACATTTATTAATCATTCGATTTGTAGTC